ATGGTGCAGTACTGTGACGCGTGTCCCACCAGCAACCTGCTCGCGATCGCCTTCTCCAACTATGCGGTGGAGGTACAGCAGATACTTTTTGACCAGGGATGGGCAAAGTTTTCAGCTAAAGGGGCAAATTTGATTGTGTCTCTCCCTTGCGTCTGTCGCAGCTGTGGGACCTGGCGGACAATAAGAAGATGGCCGACTGCAGCGGTCACCTGAGTTGGGTCCAGCGAGTCCAGTTCTCTCCTGACGGCTCGCAGCTTCTCTCTTGCGCCGACGACCAGACCGTCAGGGTGAGACGTGCTCAGTGTGACTCTCACTGATGTTAGTGCGCAGAAACTGTCCAAATCAAATCTGTTTCTCGTCCCATTTGCAGCTATGGCAGACGGATAAAGTGCACACCACCTCCGCGGTGCGCTTGAAAAGAGACTCGGATGCTTTCTTTGACTCAGGGGAAGATGGCCAATTTTTTGTTTCGGCGGCAGACAACTGCAACAGACTGCAGGTGAGCTGGCGGCGACGTGGACGTCGAAGTTTTGATTGACAGCTCGATTGACTGCATCGTGTGCGTTTGAGGTGCGCGCTGGCAGAGCGGGTTCACTGCTTTTCCAGTCAGAGGAGATGGCGTCGCGGATCCGATGCACGTGCTTTTGCTCGAAGCCTTTGGCCGTCGCCTTCGGCACAGAGGACGGCACCGTGGAGGTATCGAACACGTTTGGATCTCAGTCGACGGTTCGGGTGTTGGCCACGTAAACCTTGGTGTTATTTCTTGCGTGTGCAGATTCTGGCCATCCCCTCTGGGAAGGTTCTCGCCACCCTGCTGGGCCACACCAAGACGGTGCTGCACTGCCAGTTCCTCCACGCCGGCCAAACTCTCATCACGTCATCCGAGGACACCACCATTAATGTGGGCCACCATCATGTCTTCCTCAGCCCTCCTTTGGATTTCCATGACTGAGGTATTTGTGTGCGCAGGTGTGGAAGTGGCAGTCGCACGAGTGCCTCGTGCTGCGGGGCCACAAGGAGCAAGTGCGTTGTTTCTCTCTGCTGTCGCCTGCTGAAACACGAATGCTGTCCTGCTCGTTTGACGGCACGGTCAAGGTAAAATATTGGCATTCACTTACCAATAACATTGACTTGAAACCAAAGAAAAAAACAGTGAAATGACATCATCACGTAATACCGGAAACAGGAAATGTCCGTACAACGCCAGACAACAACCTATTTTATGACATTAAACTTTTAACATTAGACGTTCATTTATGAAATGACAGCGTGTGGCTCTTTCTATCGCTCAGGTTTGGGAGCTGGAAAGCGGAGAGGAGTTGCAGCACATCGAGGCTCACCGGGGAGCCATTTTGTCTTGCCACGTCTCCCCAGATGGACGTTTCTTTGCCACCACCTCTGCTGACAAGATTGCCAAGGTCTGAGCTCTCACGGCGCCCTCTGTTCTTCTTCTGTACTTTTTTTTTTTTCCTGAATGGGTTTTTGTCTTGGGCCTCAAGGTGTGGCACAGTGAGTCCTGGCAATGTGTCCACGTACTGTGCGGCCACCAAGACTGCGTCCGGAGTTGCCGCTTTTCCTGTGACGGGCGGCGGCTGGCGACGGGGGATGACGGCGGCGAGATCCGGGTAGGTTCTTTGAGACAAACACCGCATAAAACCTGTATTCATTTTATCCCTTAAACAGCTGTGGAGTGTCACGGAAGGCACCTTGCTGAAGATATGCTCGCGAGACGGAAAGGACGGCTTAGACTCGTTGCACGGAGGCTGGGTGACCGACCTGCACTTCTCCCCGGACGACTCCCTCCTGGTGTCCACCGGGGGATACGTCAAGGTACGGCGGCGACATATCCCCACATACAGTTTACGCTTTCAAACCTTGCGTCTCTCGTTGCGTCCTCGTCCAGTGGTGGGACGTGGACAAAGGTGAAGCCCTGCAGACCTTCTACCCGACCGGTAGCGCGTTGAAGAAGGTCCACGTGTCACCCGATTTTTCCACATTCGTCACTATTGACAACATCGGCATCCTCTACGTCCTCCAGAGAGTGGTATGATGGCCTGTGAAATTCCACGCTTTACCCGCAAACTACTGCAGTCACCAGCCTGAAGAGCGCTGCTCACAGAAGAGTAGACAAGGTGCTTTAAGATGTTTACTTCTAACAGATTCTAGATCATTTAGACACGCAAACACTGTCGTGCTTTTTTTGGGAAATCAGCATGTTGAGCCGGTAAGTGCATTCATCAATGCTGTGATGGATGTCATGGTTCTATCGTTTTGTAATTATGAGATTCTATTCCTTCAGAGTAGAGAAGCCTTATCATGTGCACTGTGTTAAATATTGTGTGCTTGCTTTTGAAAGCATTGGACGAATGTTCTTGTACAACTTTTCTACAAATCAGGATTTACACTTGCTGAGGCATTTTATCGGTACGTGCATCTTTTTCTAAATGGCATGTTTCGCAACTGAGCCGACACTTGACAATCTTTCAAACGTAACAGTCATAGTTTGTGCCTCTGTCCTTGCTGTGATCTTTCAAGGAAACGATTAGTTGTGAATATTAATCAGGAAATGTTTTGTTCGTCTGAGTAACGTTATTTCCACTATGTGCTCTTCGGGTTGGTGCTTTAAACGTTGCATATATTCAGTCTTAAGGTTGTTTTTTCTCTAATCATTGTTTGCTCAGGATCAAAGAATAGTGAAAGCACTGTACTTTATATGAGCCATTAAAATAAATGCATGTATTTATTGTTATTTGCTACGCTAATTCCACAAATAAAACACATTTTAGAGGCCATGTGCTCGATTTGAGGTTTTTCCGAAAAGGAGCTCAATTTACAGCGGCTTGTACAGCGAGAATGTTACGTTACCCCCCACACCCCTCCCAATATTATTCGCAACCTTTCAGCACCAATTAACATTTGTGTCATAGCTAGCTCGCTTGCAACACCTGGAGCCAGAAGTGACCAACCATCCATTTTGTGGGCTGTGGATTACAACTCAAGGTAAAGAACTTAACTATCTGTTTTACACATTTACAATCGAATAAGATGTGTTTCAGTTTGCTTTTCTGTCTTAGAGTAATATTAAGGAAATCATGAAAGATGTTGGTCAGTGTTTCTGCCGCTCTTTGGTGGCAGTTGTTTGTATGGCAGTCACCTTCCAATGAAAAAACTTGAAACATGTTCAGGAATAGCATCAAGATACTTTATTTGTGCACTAATAGTTTAAAAACAAAAAAAGCTGCTTAAGTTGACAGTTAAAACGTAAATCATGGTATGAAAGTCCCACTATTCTCCACATCACTTCTCGTAATTGCGTGTTCCACCCACTCATTCACATCGATGGACAATTTATGTCATTGCATAAAATCGTCATGTTTGTGAACATGTCACCCAATTTCGGGTGAAAATATCTGTCAAAGTTAATTGTTAGTACATTCTAACCCAGAGAACTACAACGTCCTCAATGGATGGAATTTTGAGTGCCCAACATATTGTTTAGTGGAATAACCACAAAATGCTTTATCCGGAGCTTGTGCATTTGGCTGATTCTCCTCCTTTGCAGCTGCTAGCCACCTCCCAGGCAGGCCACTTCACCAATGATTGGCCGGCATGGGCCAGATTGCATTTGTCTCAACATCAGTCGCTGAAGGACGACTCGCTATCCGAAGCATTCATATCGAGGTCCTCTCCGGTTTTCCCTCCCGAGTCTGGCACGGAGGCATCGGGCTTGCTACCACCAAAAGGAATGTCTCACCTTAAAGTGGGAAAACACAACAAAACTACAAGGAGGAAATGTTCAATACTCACTCCAGCAAGTCCGGATCCAACCCTTCCATGCTCATTTTATTCCGGATGGCCATAACGGGAACACCCTGCCAAAAACAACATCTAAGATGGTAAGTCTGAAAGAGTGTGAGAGCCATAATACAAAATTTCACACACCACTTGCACCATCTTCAGATATCTAGCATAGCGTGGATCCTTGGCCACCGTCATGATATTAACATCCTCAGATTTAAGCGTCGTCACATCGTCTGAGGCATTGTGAGACGGCTAAAAGAGAACAGATCATATTTAATAATCACAATAATAAACCATAGTGGGATGGATGTTTGTACCTCAGGAGGGGGAAGCGTCACAGCTTGTGGACTGCCTGTGGGACCCTGATCAGAAGCGGCAGTTCCATTGATCTGAACACCTCGGGGATGTCCGACTGCGTCGACCGTGACGTCCTCCAGTCCAGGGATGGAGGACAGCTGCTCACAGTTGGGCGATATTCCATCAAAGAGGCGTTGTGATGTACAAAAGGCGAAGGAGAAGGAACCAACCTTGGCTTCCAAGATACACAGCGTGGTCTCGATCTGCTGGATGCGCAGGGATATGTTGGCAAGTTTCTGGAGAGGAAAATTCAAGTTGTGAGTCTCTGAGTGACTTTAGGTGTGAGTATAAAAGCACAAACCTCTTCACACACTGTAGAGAAGTTGTTGAGGAAGCGAACCGTGTGGACGATGAACTGATTGAGAAAAGCAACAATTCTTCTCTGCTGAATGGCAGGAACCTAAGCCGGGAAATGGAAAAAAATGTGACAACCACACCTAAGTGTTGGGAATGTCGACTGTGGATTGGCAAAAGTTGCTTTAAGACACAACTGCATTTGACATGCATTCTATTTACATTCGTTTCCTGGCTGAGCTAACAGGCTAGCTTGAGACTAACCTTCGTCAGATCAACTCCAGAGCCCACAATCGGAAGTCCGTCCTCATCCATGCCTCTTACTAGAACACAGGTCACTTATTTGAGTGCAAATATTTTTTTTCTCCTGCTTTATACGTTGAGGAAAAACCAAATATGATGTACACAACGGTGTTGACGGTTTCATGTGACTATGAATTGTAGTACCGCGTGACCTCGCGAGACGACACGACGGCAAATATCGTTTTATTTTGAAGCGAGGGACTAACAAACATCCGGTAAGGCCAAGCGAACTGGTTTCACGCCTAAAAACGAACAAATTAATCTCCGTTTCTAGCTAAATTTTGGGGAAAAAGTGTAAAATTTATTAATTGTAAAGTCTCCGTGGAGATAGCTCAATCGTATATTGTGGAACGTTCAGAGATGGGCATAACTCTTGTTTTGAAAAACGGAATTTGAGCAGAGTCACTTTGTGAAAAAGGACGCTTGCGTCGTGATAGCGCATGCTAAACCGTAAAATAAACGACACCTTTTATGATATATTTTTTAATCAAGGCCACTGAAGACTTTGTAAACCATTTGAGCTTCGTGTAAAAATATAGCGAAAATGAACCGTATGTATCTGAATAATGAACTCTTGGAGATGTCAGTTTATGTTAGCTCGCTGTTTAGCGGGGCCCGTCTATTTAAAGCTTCTCGTCAGTCACTCAGGCTCGTGGTGTTGCGTCTGTGTTTTGAGCAGAAAGAGTAGGAATTGTTTACAGTAAATTTACTGTGAACATCTTTAAAAACAATCCAACAGATAGATTAATTGATTTGTTTTGACAATTTTATTAATATTTGAAGAATAATTGTGTTGAATATCTTCTTAAAGTGATTGTCTTTTTCAGAAGCCGGCCCACCCTTGTCCACCTTGCGCCAACTGGTGCCCCCTTTGCAGCTGTGCTCGGCCGCTATGTGGCAGCTGGCCAAGCAGAAAGATGTGATGAACTACCAGAAACTTCAGGAGTTTGTGTACGCTGTGACCGAGGCGGTACCTGGGCTGATGAACAACAAGCAGAGAGTCCAGCTCATCCTGGGCCTTAGAGCGAGGGTATTCAGTGCTTGCGTTTGTTTTCAAAGCAAACACAATAGTCTTCCTCTTAACTGGGGTAGTTTGAATTCTTCATTTTTCTTGTTCCTTCAGCTGATCCTTGAGCTGTGCAAAGGCACTGTCCGGGGTTCTGTGGACTCTCAGATGATCCACAGCCACTTGGAGAAATTCCCAGTAACTCCAGATGTAAGTGCAGGGACGACGTCATTAGCTTCTTATTTGAATTCATATGGATAATAAACCTGTACTCGCAGAGCGACGGCGACATGAAAACAGCCGAGTCCACTTTCGTCTCACTGGTTCAGAGCCTCCTGAAGGATCCGGCGGAACGAGCTTACTTCTTTAAGGTCGGACTAACTAATCTATGCCCCTTGAAATTCATCTTTTGTTGTAAATTGTTTGTATCGTTATAGGAGGTGTTCCCTGTAGAATATGGAAGAAAGTATGATGCGGCCCTACACGTGTTACTTTGGGAGCTGCTCTCAAAATTAGAGAAGTTGCTCCCAGTACCAGACCTCAAGCAGGTATTAATTCTACTTTGTCCTGCAGTTTTTTTTTTCCACTTATTTTTCTGGGAAATTAACCATTGATGTGTCTCCATTCCAGACGGCAGCTTGGCTGGGCTCGGCTCCTGCCGTTTTGGGTGAATGCCTCCAGTCCACACCAGAAGAGCTGGCAGAGCTCTTTGAGCACTGCAAGGCTGCTGGGCTTTTAAAAATGCAACGTGAGTACACTTTGGAATGCTGTCTTTGTTGATAAATTCTCAATCATCCGGGTAATCCATGACAATGATTGGGCAACTTGTCTTGGTTGCGTTCTTGTTTTTTGCAGACGGTCCCTCGTCCACCATCGGCAGCTGCATCATGTCCGCGCTGTCCATTCCACCCTCTCAAAAAGCAAATATCGCCCAGGGTTCGGAGTCTGCGCACAACCCCTCCAACGTCCCATATCCCGAGCAGTACAGCGTGGTGACGGTCTACACCGAGGTGGAGGTCCAAGACACGCCAGCTGAAGCTCAGACGGATTTCTACCGAGTGGAGGTGACGCCCGCCGAAGAAGCCGCGGACGTGGCCAAAGCATTGGAGACGCTGACCAAAACGTTTGCGCTGAGAAAGGAGAGTCTTGAAAACGACTCGGCGAGCAACCGTCAGTTTGCAATTCAAGATGTCTTTGGGGAGGCCAACGTTGACGTCCAGACCGACGCTGAAGCGAAGGACTCTTCCGCAGAAGACGACACAACAATTCATGCCGCGCAACTTCCTGTCTGTGAACACTCATCCATTCCACTGATGGACGCCTCCACGGGCTGGTGTGACTTAAAGAGGTCTCTTTAAAGGGGATAACGGGTGCAGCTGGTTTTGGGCGAGAACTGGGCTACACCCTGACTACAAAAAAAAAAATGTCCTTTTCTCCCGCAGCATTCGAGCTGACCAACCAGTTGCCTTGTCTGTGATCGCCATGAAGGGTAGTGACCAAGGTAAGCATGTGAGCCCCATCAATTTTTTTATTGATTTATTTCGACGCTAATTTGACAAGTGGCCGCCATCTTTGTTTCATTTTCTATAAAACGCGGAATGAGCAATTCAAATGCATCCAAAGCCGGTGACTCAAAAGCATTGCGAATTTCTCTATTATTTCACCCACAGGCGATTCAGATGAGATGACGTCCATCATCTTCACATGCTCGCAGTGCCCCTTCCACCACTCGGACGACAACAGCCCGCCGCACTTTCACATGCAGAGAGTTCGCACCGACGACTACCGCAAGCTCTCAGGATCCGACGAGGCTCCGGTTCCGTCCGAATCGGATGAAATCTACACATCCATTAAGCTTTTTCCCAAAGGAGATGCGGCACAGCCTGACAGCCCGTCGGTCAACGACGGCACCGCGAGCCCCCGCCAGGCCGCCGGCAGGCAAAAAGCCCTGACGTGCGAGACGTGCGGCAGGACGTTCACGCGCACATCGGACGTGCGGCGCCACCAGCTGACCCACACGGGCGAGCGGCCCTTCCGCTGCTCGCAGTGCGATCGCACCTTCCAGCACTCCTGGGACCTCACCAAGCACCAGGGCAAGTCGCACGCCGCCGCCGTCTCCTTCGCCTGCTCCTCGTGCCGGGTGTCCTTCGCCAACCTGCGGGCGCTGACGGCCCACCACAAGCGCCGCCACTCGGGCGGGAGCCGCCTGCCGCACATCTGCTCCATCTGCAGCCGCAGCTTCGCCTCGGCCGGCGAGCTGCTGGAGCACAGGAAGTCGCACGTGGCCAAGCGCTACGTCTGCCTGCAGTGCGGCGAGGGCTTCGACTCGCTGCTGGCGCGCTCGCTCCACCGGCAGGCGCATCAGGTGAAGCGGCAATTCAAGTGCCCGAACTGCGAGAAGACGTACACGCGGCGGTCGGACGTGAAGCGGCACATGTCCGCGCACACGGGCGAGCGGCCTCACCAGTGCGGCCAGTGCGGCAAGCGCTTCTCGCTGCGCTTCATGCTGGTCAAGCACCTGCGCGTCCACACGGGCGAGCGGCCCTTCCAGTGCTCGCACTGCGCCAAGAGGTTCACCCTGGCGTCGGTGCTGGCGCGCCACGAGAGGATGCACACGGGCGAGAAGCCCTTCCTGTGCTCCCAGTGCGGCAAGGCCTTCCTGTCCCAGGGCGAGCTCTCCAAACATCACCGCTCGCACGTGGACGAGCGACCCTTCGGCTGCTCGCTGTGCGACAAGCGCTTCAAGAGCAAGAAGACGCAGCGGGAGCACCTGGTCTCGCACAGCGGCGCCCGCCCGTACCCCTGCGCCTACTGCGGCAAGGGCTTCGCCAAGCCCTCCGCGCTCACCCGACACCACCTCATGCACACGGGCGAGAGGCCGTTCCCCTGCGGCTATTGCGACAAGTCCTTCCTCACGCGCAGCGAGGCGCAGCTGCACCGCCGCGTGCACACGGGCGAGCGGCCGTACGCCTGCGACGCCTGCGAGCTCAGGTTCAAGAGCTCGTCCGAGCTGGCGTGGCACAAGCGCAGCCATTCGGGCGCCGCCAAGCCCGACTGCGGTCGCTGTCAGAAGACCTTCTCATCCCAGGCCAAACTCAAGAAGCACTTGGAGACCCACACGGAGCACATCACTGACTGATTGTTCTTTGTTTTTTTTTTTGTATGTAAATGTTATTCTCTTCCCAAGCAAACAACAAGAACAGAGCGTATGTAAGCAAAAAGATGCACAGTAAACTTTTGTTTGTTTTTCCCCAGAATGATGAAGAGTTTTTATTGGATTTAACGTTTGAATATCCAGGTGGGGCAATGGACAAGATGGAGAAGAGATTCCCATTCCGGTTATTTGAGGCACAAAATTGAAAAAGAAAATTGACTCAAAGGAGTGCGGACTTTGGGAGCGAATAGTTGCGGCGTGCATGCTGAGAGGGAGGAATGTGTGTCCCCCCCCCTCCAAAAAAAAATGTTATGGTCGACTTCATTCTTGTGTGTCTTTTCGTTGTTGTTTTTTCTGCTCCCATTTTAGGTGCTGGGCCTCCTGTCAAAGCGGCAGCATTTGCTCACCACCGCTATTTTCAGGGGGCGGGAGGAGGAAGCTCTTCAATCTCAAGCCCTTGGGTCAGGTGAGTCATTTCTGTGGTAATCACGCAACCCACATAAAACAGAGCTCGCGTTAATTACGAAAATTGTAATTCTTCGGCAGGCCCCCAGCTACGTTGTGGCGGAAAACACTCGTCTTGCACAAGAGATGTGGTGAGTCCATATGTTTTCCTTATACCATACTCGGCAAAGTGTCTGCTTAGAGTCGAATCTGGAGAACCTCATGAAGAATTCCCAATACGGTCGCATTTTATGGTCGTAGAGGTCGAGTTGGGGGGGGAAAAAAAATTCCAATGCACCAGAAGAGGGTGTTCACGAGTTGATTCCCGTTCAGTGCCCCCCCCCCCCCCCATCCTTTCTCAGTGAGCGCGGGAGCATCGACGTAAGGATCGCTCGCCATGCAATAAACGGGCGTAAATTTGCCATCTGTGCATGCAGATAACGGCGCAGACGTCACGCGGGCCGTTGTCAGGATTTACGCCTCGGTCGGCGTCGCGGGTGGCGGATTAATAACGGGTCGTAAAGAAGGAGAGGGGGCGTCAAATGGAGAGTCGATAAAGCCCAAGCGGGGACGATGAGCTCGCCACTGCCTCGCCAGTTGCTCTCCGCCCGGCCGAGCCCCAGCAGGCATGCTGCGGAGCGGGACACCGAGCAGCTAGCCGTCCGGAGACTGCCCTCCCCACGGAGCCTCAACCTTCTCACGCCGCCCCCTTACCCTCGCCGCGCCTCCGCCATCCCCGGCTACCTGCTGCCCCCCTACCAGGAGCACGAGGACCGCCTCCAGCAGGAGCGCCGTCGTCTCTCCTCCCCTCCCGAGATCTCTTGGGTCGCCCCCGCCCCCGCTCACGCTCCTCCTCCGCCCGTGGCCACCCCTGCCGCTCCTTGCCGCCGACCGCTGGGCGTCATGCACCTCCTCCGTTTGGGTCTTCTTGCCTTCAGCTGCCTGTTTTGGGCGGCCGGCTTAGCTCTCTTCACACTGGGCGTGTGGGCGCAGATTTCCCTGGCTGACTTCATGTTGCTGTCCGCCAACCGCTACCCCAACGCGCCCGTCATCCTGCTGGTCACCGGGGCCGCCGTCACCATCTGGGGCTTCCTCGGTTGTCTCGGGGCGGCGGCCAACCTCCCGTACGTGCTGAGGGCCTACGGCTTCTTCCAGCTGGCCGCGCTCGTGGCGGGCTTGGCCGGCGGACTCTGCGGTCTCTTCTACCGGGAGGACATCGCCGGAGGGTTTCGTAGCGGCCTACAGCGAGCCGTGGCCGGATACGCGGAAGACGAAGGTCGCGCCGACGCGCTCGATAGCTTGCAGAGGGCGCTGCGCTGCTGCGGTGCCGAAGGATGGCGCGACTGGCTGACTTCGGACTGGGCCCTCCAGCACGTGACCTTCCCGCCCAACGAGAACGCCACCCTGGGGTCCTTGCCGGACAGCTGCTGCATGCGTCGCAAAGGCTGCAGGAACAGGCCGCTGCCCTCGGAGGACGACGGCGGCGTGGTCGCCGCGGGCGTTCACCCCCACGGGTGCTTCCGGAAAGTCTTCAGCTTGGTCAACGACAACGTGTTCCACATCGCCGCCACCGTGCTGGGCTTGGCCTTCACCCAAGTCGGCGGCATCGCTCTGGCGTGCATTTTGGCCAGCCGGCTGGCGCCGAGGCAACGCGTGGTTGCGAATTGATCGGGGAAAAAAAAAAAAACCTCATTGTTTACGATTCGAGTGTTGTGGTGTCGTTGAAAGCATGTGCGTGGAGTTTGACATTAGTGAAAAAGATGGCGCCACAGCCCTGCCCAAAAAGGACGTTTGTGCAGTTGAAGCGTTTAAGAGATACAGCTCGGCTGAGAAACAATTTCGGTATGTCAGGCCTGAGCTAAGTTTAACCTGGGTTGTGATGGAGAGGCAGCACCTGAAGAGATCAAATTACCTGCAATTTGTGGGGGTTGTCAATTACACTATTCGCAGTTTATGGAGCCCTGACCTTGAAGATTACTGTACTTTACATGAGAAGGAAAAAATGATTTGCATGCTGTTCAGGTGAGATTTTTTTCCATGCAGTGACTAACAGCTAAAGGTGCTCGCGATACGATGTGAAAATGTCACGAGCCTGTCTTAAGTGTCGTCTGAAAAGATTGGTTCCCATTGTTGTTGGAATTCGATATCGACTCTGCTGCCTTGGCTTCCAAAGCTTTGGACTTCATTGTTTAAACTCCAGATGTCTTTCTGTCTGTACAGTTTTTTTTTTTTTCTATTGTGTATCTCCACAAAAATAAAGCACGGACGAATGTCCTATGTGTCCACAATTCACGTCAATACAGGACTATTCCCTTTGGTCGGAGATTGCGATATCGATCGAACCGTGAAGGTGAAGATCCGCAACTTCCTCTCAACGGCCATTAAATTCTGCGCCGATTCAATCTTCAATCTTCAATCTTCTATCTTCTATATTCTATCTTCAATCTTCAATCTTCAATCTTCAATCTTCTA